ACTGATAAAGGAAAAATATTAGCAACTTAACCACCAAATTCTGCAACATCATGTAGAAGAAAGTGCTGACCGGACGCTAAACACTGGAGTCAGAACTGCTCTGCAGGACAAACTACGCAATAACATCCACCCATCCTCCGCTTGTTTAATTCAGGGTTAGGGAGGGGGGTGGAGCCATAGGGCAAAAGGTGGGGTACACCTTAGACAAATCGCTGGATGCCTCTGACTGTCCCCGGTGCCAGATTTAAACTCAGACGAGACTGTGCGTTCTCTGTGTCTGTTTGACTTTATTCTGGTCTTCTGCTTTATTTATTTGTGTCCACTCGGTCTGCTGTACAGCATCTTTTTAAATGTGCTTAATAAATCAATTTGAGTTGGGTTTCAGTGTCACTAAAATGTGGGACATTTTGCTTGTATAATCTGCACACATGCAAAGTCCTGTTAGTTGGATGGATCTAACATCAGTAGCACCAGCAGCCTTCTTTTCCTGCAGGTTAGCGTCCACCTGTCGAACTGCGCTGCTTTGTGCTGATGTCATCTGCTTACTTTCACCTTGCTCAATTACAACTTCCCGTAACAGAGAGAGAGTGTGTGAGAGAGAGCAAATGCCATTTTGTGCTCCAGATATTGAAAGGTAAGGATTAAATGCTCGGTTCCACATCTGTGTTTGTGACCTACAATGACACTCCACTCAGTAACATCCTATAATCCCATAGTGAGGTTATTAACTGTGTTGTACTTAATGTATTTTTTGCGTCTGCTTTTGATGTAGCTGGGTGCAAAAAATGCAGTCACAAATGCAGCAGTACCTGGCACGATGCAGCAGCTTTAGATTGTTCCCTTAAATTTAGTCAAGAGCACGAAGAGAGATGTGAGACAGATGGAGGGACAAACACAACCTAATCCTGACACTGTGGAGAGGTTAATAAGAATTAGCTTCCATCTGCTGGAATAAAACAACTAAATATCCGTAACAATATGCACCACCTAATGGACGTGCCACCTCGGCAGGTCCCCTGTGTAAGGTGGACATTTCTGGACAAACTTTTTAGAAGTGAATCTAACTCCTTCATCAGTGAAACCTTCTATGACTCAAACATATAAACCTCCAAGGAAGTTTGCCATTTCCCATCAGCTGTTACAATTTGCTATAACATGATTTACATAATAATACTTGGATGGCCGAGCTACACAGACAGAGAGAAACAGACTGAGGAAGACAAGACGGGGGAAAAAAGTAGCTGTAAAACAAAGACAGAGAGAGACAGTCAGATGGAGTGTGTGTGTCTGTGTGTGTCTATGTGTTGTTCTTGGGTGGGGGAATATTTCCAGAACACGTTGCATGTGCAGAAAAACTATGCGTGCGTGCACACACACATGCACACGTGCGTGCGACAGATCGGCTTTTATAGTCCATGGGATTTTATCGTGCACGCATCCCTGAAGAGCACACTCCCCCCTACTGGCACTAAGCTCATTTCAGCCTCACTGACAGATTTATGGCATTTCCATCACCTCATGTGTCTGAATGAAAGTTTGTCCGTGTGTGTGTGTGTGTGTGTGTGTGTGTGTGTGTGTGTGTGTGTGTACGCGTGTACTGTTCGACTTGACGCCCCAGAAAATACGGTCACAGTTGGCCAGGTGCCCGCTTGCGAACAGTTGGCAAGACAAGACTGCGGTGCTCTGCACAAACCAGTGACACACACAATGCAGAGGTGATGCGATTCTTGCTAAAGAATAGATCTACCACCATACTGTAGTAAGAATGTGCCATTATTTTCAGCTACAATACACTGAGTCACTGCTCAAGGCTGAGAGCAGAGTTTTTATAGGTTTAAGTACTGTTTACTATTACTGTTATTATTATCATAATAATCTGCAGGTATTTAACTGAATAGCTATTGCTGTAATACTGTGCGCAAGTCTCAAACCACTTATTTCTTTCTATTCAGCTTCTAAGAAGTCAGGCTGTCCTAATAACTCAATAGTTTTCAAGGTTTATTTTCTTTGAACATTGGCTGCTTTTTCACTCATTTCTGATTTGATTTGATTTGATTTGATTTTATTGATTAGCATTCAAATTCAAATCTCTCATCATTTCTCATCATTTTCAGAGGAATGGCTTGTTTGCTAAGCCGCTTAACAGTGACTTCTAAATCATTCGAGCATGATCAGACAGTATGACATGATGCTATTAGACAAAGCCTCATCAGAAGGGTTCGTGTGGCTGTCAAGAAGCCACTCTTGACGACAAGGGGAACTGTGACAAAAGGCCGCAGTATGCCACATTACAAATGAACCAGACGGCAAATCAGTGCTAACAGGCTGATGCACTGATGAATCCAAAAATGGCTTTAACTGCTAAACAGATAATGCAAATTTTACACAGACCCTTTGATTCAAAGCTGAAAGTCTGCACTTTAATCACTTCTTGACTTAAAGCCCACTCTCCACTGGCACAGTGGGCATTGTAACAGTGTCCATATACTTACAGATCTAACTCTATACTAGGACGTTTTAGTTCAAGTTCTATGTTGCTTATATCTCAGTTAGCCTAATATTTTGAAACCTACTTTTAAGTAGTCAGTTAATCTTTGACCTTCATAGAGCGCGCTTTAAATGTATTAGAATGTGTTCCTTAATAGGAACAGCTCCATATTTTGAGAAATGCACTTGTTTTCTGATGGTGAGAAAATTTACATGTGTGTTAAATACAAAGCTCGGTTAGAGTTCATTTGTGATGTTAATGGTTGGGGGACTGGCTGATGGGAATATATGCATGTAGTCAATGGCACACTTGTGTTTTTATAAGAATAATAATTAAATAATACCATACATAACATGCTGCATTATTTTATATTTTAACTGGCCCCACAGAAGACCTGTCCAGCATGTGGGTAGGCGTGACGCTTGAAATGGTGAGCCGGTTAGTAATGACTCAAATTAGCAAAATACAGTACACCACAATGAACCCCACCAACGAAACATGCAAATAAGGATGAAAAAACAAGCAAAAACTTTAACTTTTAAGGTCAAATTGTGAAGATCAAAGTGACCTTTAAAGTCTCCCGAGTCACCAGAGGATAAAGATCAAAAGCGCAAAGCAGTGATGAGAAACCATTTGAGCTCAGGCACCCCAAGTCGCCGAAACTAACGATTAAGATTAAGCTGCAGTGGATATTAGCGTGCTAGTGCGGTGAGCCAGAGACATGCAAAGCACCACGAGAGCTGAGGGACAATAAACAGACCTAAAGGCCATGAAGGGCAAACCCTCAGCCCCACGAGGTGCCCTCTGCGTGCCTTGTAGGTCATAGAGGACACTTTAAGACCAGTAATGGTTGGCCTTTTGGTTCATTCACACAGAACCAAACTCTTTAGCAGCTAATAACAAAAATGACATGGTACCAACAATGAGCTGAAGGACACCAACACGTTGACCTGAGAGAAGCTGCAGAGGTGCGTGGGAAGTCTCTGGTACTTAGATGCCACAGAATCACACACTGTCATTTTATCAGGGTAGAAATATTAAAGTGAGCCATGGCATTATAACGATGGCAGGTTGTTCTACCGTGGTTCACTCTGCATTCAGCAGCTGCTCAGCAACTTTAGCCTCAGCGAGCACAAAAAACAGGTCTATGCATTCAGTGCACTAAATCATTTGACCCCGTCGCTTTTTCACACACATGAAGTATACCACTCTGAGGACTTGAGTGAATGAACTGCTGGTTGATGAGGCAAAAGAATAATTCTGCCAACAACACAAAAGCCTCCCTGGAAATGTGAATCTCTTCCAGTTCGCTGTCATAATGACTTCAGAGCGATGCTAACCGCACCACCCACCTGCCACCGCCAAGTTAAGGATGTAAACACACCCAGACTCTTTGATAGGGTAAGAAAAAAGAAGGGGGCATGAAAAGAAAGAGAGGAGGAGAAAAAGAGTGAGAGAATGGAAGAAAGGGAGTGAGTTAGTGCTGTCCCTTGGTATTCACAAACTTCCAGCAATTAAAGCTGTGGATTCAGAGCCAGGGAAACTTCCTTGAAGGTCTTGGCAGTGGCTCTAAGGCTATTCCTCCTCCACTCCAACACACACACACACACACACTGATCAGTAACCTGAACTGACCTCCAGCAGCCTCCATCGGCCCACAGCAACCCACCTTATCACACATTAACATGCACAGAACAATCCTACCCGAGCCTACATCAGCCTACACCAACCCACACTGACTGACTCAATACACAGCATTAGGAGACAAACACACACACACACACACACACACACACACACACACACACACACACACACACACACACACACACACACTTAATCTAGTGCAGCTGCCTAGTAACAGGTAGGATATTTTTACCTTTAGAAAAGTCTGTGAGAAATGGATTTTTTAGGAGTCTTAATTTAATATCACAGTCAAAGTGCTTTGAAAAAAAAAAGCACTTTCAATTTAATTCGTGACATATTATTTCAATTTTCTCAATTATTTACTGGTACGGTCCACAATAAGGCACTGAATATCCCCGGGCTCAACCTTGAGATAGGAAAATGGCATTAGTATATGTAGATATTTCATGTTTAAGGTGATATTAACTGACAACGAAATCTCTTTGGAGACTAATAGCAATATTGTATTGTACAGCACATGCACTGTGCTTTATTTAATAGTTGGCTATATGGTAGTTACTTAAATTTTAGGTAATATTAGGACCACAATCCCTGTTATCGACAAACTTCATTGTGATGAGCTCTTTGGAGACAATCGGTGTCTATCCAAGTGTTGTGACAGCTGAACTTCTGGATACTGAGATGTGTTTATTTTATCCACTTGTGTTAGATGAATATACAGAGATGGTTAAAGACAAACTAGAGGTTTTAATGCTCCACATCAGATTACATAGTAGATATAGATTTAAAAATCATAGGTCAACATGCAGGCCACAAAAATGACTTTCACAATTTCCTCATCGACTTATGTAGATCTTAGTTTTTGTGAGTGATGAATAAGTCAAGTGCTTCATGGTTGCCATAGTTAATTATTACTAGTGGACTACCCACTGTCGTGTTAGCATCGGCAAGGGAAGCTATCACATCAGCAGAAGTTTATTTATGAAATGAGGCAAAGCTTGAAAGCTTGTTCAGAGAACTCGAGGTGCACTGTGCCATACACATGCCTCACTTTCTTAACATTATGTGTTAAATGCACCCTTCCAGTACAGTCTATTGAAGCTGCAAACTTAAACAGACCATTGACTGTTGTAGCTGGCAGGCTAACTGATGAAACAGAGCTCCTCTTTATCTGTGATCACTTTTTCTTTTTTCATCATCACCTAACAAATTGTAGAATAAAAGTTACTGAAAAGGTAAAATATGTTCCTCAGTTAACAAGGCTGCTAAAACTCTGATACCAAACAACTTAATATGTACTTACTTACTATGTCTCATAGTGTGGCAGGTGACTCAAACGATCAAAGCTAAACACCAAAATATCAGAGTTTCATCTCTCGAGCCTTTAATTTGAAAAGTTCCATTTGACACTCGAATTTTTTATGTTTCAAAACTTTCCAACTTGGCTATAATTTCCATCTGAAATCGATTTTCAGAGTCAGGGATCGATGATGGCACAAGTCACTATGGATTAGTCGAGGCATTTTTTAAAATTCAATTTCTCAGTAATTCTAAGACTCATAATAAAATAAATCTGCCAAGTTATAGTTCGATGTCGCACCATAAAACCGAAACTTGCAACACAAAAGTGTCTGGTGTGCAGAGACATACACAAACAACACATACAACACCCAATTCTCTTAAATTTGAAATTACCGTGTGTGTCTGCGTGTGTTGAGGTGATACACTGAGACATCACAATCGTCAAGTGAGAGAACACAGGAGCACATTTCTGACAGTTGAACTGATTTTTAAAATCACAGCATTAATGTGCTCAGAACTGCAGAGACGCTCGTTTATCTCGTCTGTTTTTTTTTTGTTTTTGTTTGTTTTGTTGTTCGGTAAGTTATTTTGCACAAATAAAACAACCTAGACTGACCGAACTCAAACTGGCTGTTTTAGTTTTTACTAACTTATGTTGTGACTTAATAAGGTTAAATCTGTTTAGCTGATATCCAACCCTTGTTACAGCTGACTAAATCAGTCAGCATATGCCAGTGTCCAAAGAAGTCTTCATGCTGGGAGTGTGAAATAAACTCCTTGTATGCTACAAGGGTGGATAATACTACTATAATAGTAGGCTCCTCTGCCCAACAGCGATGCTAACATTTCCCTGTAATGTTACCTGCTGCACTATTATTTAAAAAGGCACATTTTTTCTATTTGTGCCATCAGTCGCTGTCTGCAGACTCTGGCTCTCCTGCAGAACATTCAGTGAATTCTGCATTTCTGCCCCTTCAAAGATCTGCTAAAGATTTCATCTGGAATAGTAACTTCTTATTTAGCCTAGTCTGGACATCAATAATATCTGCTAAGTAGCAGAATATATACACACTCCTCCTTATTTATTTAGTTTTTTATTTTCTTACGTGCTCTATTGTGAGATTGAAGCGACACAAGACCGTGTGCGACACAGACACACACAATTCAAACGTTTTCGAGTGGAAAAGGCAGCAGCACCTTGCGGGAGCAGACTCAAGGACATTTCTTTTATTATGCAACCACTCAGCTTCTAATAAGAAATTAACAACATGCAAGGCACAAGACAAACAGGCCCTGTCTCTTCATCTTTATTTCTTGAAGCATGTGTTGCAGTCTCTTGCAATGGTTCTGGCTGCTCTAGCATGTTGGAAAAAGTGCATCCCATGCATTTCTTTCCTGAAGGTTCCCTCTTTATATTGTGCTGTGAAGTTAACATGTTCATTTTAAAACAATCGTTCAGAGTTGTTTCTACACCTTGCAGAGATCATTTAATGGTTAAACTAATTAATTTCAGTAAACAACACAAAATTTGATGTGGGTGCCAGGAAGCGGTGTGCGGCAGGCAGGATTAGGACCCAAATGCAGGACTCAGGAGACTTTAAACTCAAAAAGCAGCTTTAATGCTGAAGTCCTTTAAGCAAAATACGAGACAGAGCTGGCGCCAGGAATGCAAAAAATCAGTCACAGGGAAACCGCAGCCCGACGGAGCACGCGGTATGATGGAGGTAACAACAAAGAACACAAGCAAACTGAGGGTTTAAATACACAAGAGGAGACGGGAGCAGAGGGGAGATGCCTGGGAGAAACAGCTGAAGCAAATTTTTAATGCGACATGAAATGCGTAAAATTAACCGAGTTACCAAAATAAGACAGGAAGTAACTGAACTCAGGACACAGAAATGCAGACTCGATACGTAGAAAACAGGGAACAGGAAACGAACCCAGATAAGTCTAACCACCACTAAACTTTAAACAGGACCTGAGAAAATAACAGAAACCAGCAAGGAAATATCTCAACAAGGTACAAAGCAGTAGGGACCTGGCAACCTGCCTCAGTTTCATATTATCCTCAGAACCGTTCCCTTTTCAGGGAAAAGGCAAGTTAGTTTGTTCTAAATCTAGCTGGACGTCACAATATTTCAACCTCCCAGCATATATATTAAAAAAACCCAGCAGAAACACCTGTAGGAGGATGCCATTTTTCACATATGTAAGTTTTCCCATGTCATTTTACCAGCTCCCCCTCTTAACTCCATCCCTCATTAAAGTGTAGGATTCAATTCAGAATGCCAACTAGCAGCTTTAAAATGTAAAAATGTCCAAGGGCACAGTGACGTCATCTGCTCATTTGCATTTCTGTGGCATCAGCAGTAATAGTTTGAGAAGGTCTGCGGGTTTCTTGGGGTAAGAGCTTCTTGATGCCAGCTAGAGTCAATTAAACAACATTTCTCTTCAAATTACTAAAAGCCACGCCTTACCAGAGTTCTCGTTTGCGTGATTCCGGAGTTCTGATGCCCAAACTGTGTGTACCAATTACATAAAGTAAGATATCTGAGAGTTCTAACTGAGGACTAAGAGGCTATATTAAACACTGCTCAAGAGCTTGCATGTATAAATAAATAATGGCTGAATACATAAATGATGTAATGTTCTGTGCTAAGCTAAGTCACGGTGAACACACAAGCCACGTCAGCTCACATGAGGGCGTCCTCATGTGTGCAGTGTGCAGTGAACCTGCTACGCAACGTGAGACGGAGCTGATTGCTATGGCAATGACTGACAATCACCCAACAAAATCACATTTGTTTAACTCTTCTTTAACATTTTGTGACATATTTGTAGTAAGTTTTAAACAAAGTTCACTGGAAGAAATATAGTGAGGTCCAGTGCATTAAAATACATCAGCTTAAATATAACAATGACAGATAATCAGGTTTAATGGCATCAGATGAAGCTGGACATGTAGCATGGCAGCAGCTACAGAGATGCTATTTTGTCTTTGTGTATTATTTTTATACTATTCACCTGAAAACACATATTTCACACACACTTCCAGCTGTGCCTCCCCCCCCTCCCCATGCTGCTGTAGTCGAGCTCACAGCAAGGAGTAAAAATACCAGGTACAGGTGAGGAAAACAGTATCTGAGAACGTGGGTCGGCCATTGGTTTGTTTCCTGCAGCTCAGCATGAGCCACATGTGCACGAGGATGTCTCGCAGAGGTTTGGTGTCGAGGTTCTGCAGCTCTGCAGGAGGTACTGTCGAATCCGACATATGTCTCTTATGAAAAAACAAAAGAACAAAAGTAAATATGGGTGGGACAGTCACCAGTTATGTGAAATAATAGAAATGTGAATACCTCAGTTGGGTGCAATCAAACTGTACAGATTAGCCACCTTTTCCGTAGTAAATAATATGATCAGACCTTTCCATCACGGCACACACAACACGGCCCTGAACCGAGGCTACAGCTAATGTCAACGTTTCCCAGTTTTAAAGAAAGTGAAAATTTCCTCCATTCATCCTCTGACCATGCTCCCCTGTCTCATTAAATACAGCTTGGTAGTTCTGTCTTATTCTTGCTGACAAATGGCACTGAAACGTATCTCTACCATGGCTACTACGTTAGCTGCGGAATAAGCATAAAAGCATGTAAATAGGATCAGTTCAGGTGTATAATGGATTCACATCATCCTTACATAGAGTGCAATCAGTGTGAAATGTGTTCCTTGAATAGTGACACTTAATTATAAATTAAGTTCAATCGACTCACCACGATGACAAGTAAAGTGTTATCTGTATAATACCAGAGATGGCTCTCACTGGTTTAACAAACAGCCCTCATGATGCAAACGGGGAAATACTGTCACATGTCTCCACACAAAGCTATTCAATTCAGTTACATTTTTCACTTTTATAGATATGCGTGTGTAAATGACCACGGCAGACCCGACGTGAACATGCTTTGCAGCATATTTTATTGATACACCCGGTTGCTGAACACACATACACAGCTACAGCTCTCCCGCTGCAAGCTCAACATACCAACAACAACACCCCAGACAGTTCCCAGTACAGATTTTAAGTCGACGGGGCATGATTGCGGTGCCGTGCAGGTGCATACATCTTCCCTGCACAGCACCGCAGACCACGCCCCGCCACAGCATGATATCACAACAATGTGTTGTTATACAGAGAAAATGCCAACAGTGATACAACCCCCTATGAGCAAGCACTTGGCGAAAGTGGGAAGGAAAAACGTAACTTTTAAGAGGAACCAGGCTCAGGGAGGGCGAGGGGAGGGAGACTGGACAAAAGACATGCTGAGGAAGAGAATCAGAGATTAATAATAACAAGAATAATAACAACGATTAAATGCAGAGAGGTGTGCAAATCATTGAGGTGCATTATGGGAAGCTCCCAGCAGCCTAGGCCTACTGCAAAGTAGGGTCACCTGATTCAGCTCCAACTATAAGCTTTATCAAGGTGTAGAAAGAGGGTGTCTGTCTCCTGAATTATTTATAAAGTCATTTAAGGCATGATTCAAATGTTTTGTTTACAAGGAGTAGCCAATCAAAGACAAATAGCTAAAAAAAGGTGAGGGGAAAAAAGACTAAGACAACAGATCTTATGATGATTATGAGCTACTCGAGCGAAATCCAAGAATTTAAAAAATAGAGCAGGAAATGAGCCTACTAGGTTGGTAGTAGGAAGCAAGGTAGCCTGTTTAATTTCCTTTCACAGCGTTCTGAAAGCTTTTTATGTGGCCCTTGTATCCACAGTGCAGCTCCTATCTAAGGCATGCTGTCTTAAACTTTTCCGGCCCATAAGCCAAATTTAATCATCTGAGTCTCGCCCTGGGACCCGGGCTCATTAAAATGTACCGGTAAACTTGTCGTGTCACCGGAATCAGGTCGTCTCTCTGCTCCCCCCCCTCTTAAGACACCTCCGTTTTAGACCGAAGCCAGAGAGCCACCTTCAGCTTCCTCACTGTCTCTGAGCTCTCCTGCTAACTTCCCTGCGAGTTCATCTGGAGTTCACTCCACCTTGTGATTTTTTTAAGTTGTAGCCTATGGCCCGAGGAACCCAGTCACAGTCTGCATCAATAATGCAAAGACCACAGACTGCTAACATCTCAGCCTTAAGCAAGAGGTCTGCTCGACAACACGGCGCTCAAACAAAGGCAGGCTGAAGACGTCTCAGACTATCTCAGCCACGAGGGAAGGAGCACCTATGCTGTTTAAAGGACACACACGCAAACAGAGCAGACACACAAGTACACTGAAGACATGAATTCTCTCTGTAGTTGTATAACACCCTCTTAGCACCAAGACATAATCAGGAGTGTGTGGTTCGTGTAGTCAGTCTACTGAGCAGGACTCAGTACAGCGTTCCTCAGCAAGGGTACGCCCACCTCACTCAAATACACACACTAAATGGAGAATACACACCCCGCTGCATCTCACCATCAGTGTGCTGGGAAACATCTCCAGCTGTCACATTAAAAACATCTCAAACTGAATCGAGGACAACGCTGGTCCGTTTCCCCGCTGACTGAGATGTTATTGTTGAAACGACTCTTTTTCCTCACATTTTCAATTAGATTCATAGTCGCCAGCGCTGCCGAACGCTTTGCATAAAAGAGCCTGTAAATCTTTAATTCAAGTAAAATGGAATGAAGCTCAGAAGTGCAGGTTTTCAGGGTGCCAGCGTCGATGTGAAACGCGTGTATGCGTGTGTGTCATTCTCTGGTCTTTTCTTGCATGCAGGGACTTTACTGAATTATTAAATCACTACTTAGGCTTTGTGGTTAAATGAAGCTATGCAAACAAGGACGAACTGTATTAAAAACACTCTAGCAGTAAGTGAACGCATCGTTTGGCAAAACTGTTTCAACGTAGTCTGTGAAACACACTTAAAGAGTAAAACAATATCAAATCGCTGTCTCCAGCACTTTCTGGTTGTTTCTGGGGCTCCTTAACTACTTAATCATTGACTTAATACCGCCGCTTCTGGACTGCTCCTAATCAGTGTGGGAACTGTGGAGCCATTAGCCAAATGCTGAGGAGTTTCTCTCCTCTAAAGCTTGAGGGGCTGAAGAGATCTGGGCACCCAAAGAAGCAAAAGGCAAGATAAATGAAGAGAGGTGGGAACGGCTCCAGGTGGAGAGGAAAGCATGTTTATTCACAATACGCGCTTTCGTGACGGCTTACTTATGCGCGCCTCCAAATATTAAACAAGTCTGCCACCTTCTCTTTTTGTGATTTGAAAAGTGCCACAGTGAGATGGAATGTATAATATAGCCGTCTTTTGTCAAAATCCAATTACTGGAATCTGAGATACTGCATATCAGATTAAACGGTGTAGCGCCACACGCGGGCCAGTTAATCTATCACGGAACAAAAAAAAAACACACGTAGCTACGATGAATCGGTCTCACCTGGATGTAATCCAAATATAACCTGCATGTAAAGTGTCGCTGAGAAACAAATCAGAGTCTGGAAAAGTGAAGGATTCGTTCAGAGCTGGAATTTTACCAGTAGGAAAAAACAACAACGTTCAAATTATGTCTGATTATCAAAAACACAGCACACCAATGGCTGTTTTCATTTGTTTTCGAACATCAGTTACACAATATTTTGTGTATTAACGTATATTTTATCTGCATACAATAAAATAGTTGAGGAAAGAACTTTTTTCGCTACGCAGTTTACAGAAACATGATGACCACCGGACAAAATTTAAACTGAAAAATATAACTTATGTAGCTGAAATAACCTCTTGTGCTCACTTTCACTTCACTAAAATTCAACTCAGGGGAGTGTGCTATTACATATAAATGCTTTTACCAACTACTCCATTCATGTTCGCCCTGATAACGGTTTTCTTAAAGGCTTTCCCATCCACGGTACACCTGCACAGCTTATTCCACTTACTCTGGCTGATTAGACTTCTGAGGACTGCGTGTGGGCGTGTACAGGCGCTGTTTTACTGACACCTTCGCCGCCCTTTTGTTAGCTCCGTCGGCCGTGTTAAGGGGGAACAAATTACACGTCTAAAGGTGTAATTTGTTCATTGTTAATCACACAGGGAAGTCCAGTGACCTGACAGAATTCCAGACATAGCTTCCCCCACTTTCACCCCGAGCAGAGGTCTACTCATCAGCCAAACGCGAAGACACCTGGCAGCCCTCGAGATGTGCGATGGGATGGAGTCATTTATCAGCTGTGTGACTGACTCTGCTGCTTAAACTGACAGTATCACACAGGCATTCAACATATTCCGGTTTAGGACTAATATTCTACATTCAGTTATTGAAAACTCAATTGTGTATTGTTTCCTGAGTTGCACAGAACAGAGCTGGATTTCCACTGGAGGACTTGTTAGACCCAGTAACCCTCGGTGAGGGGGTTAACAGCGTGCTACCCACCTGCAATGCTGCATACTGTGTGGCAAAGGTGAAACAGCTGCCTGGCGTGGCTGCAGGTTTCACACACCCTGCTGCCGGTGTGAAGAGAGAGCGGTGAATGGTTTAGCCTAATGTAATTAGGGAACAGATATCAGAGCCGCTGAAGGTAAACTGTGGTAAATCACATTTGCTTGGTTCTTCATCACAGTTAGAACTTCTTTCTTTCTACTTTCAGGCTGCCTAACGTGTTAAATATATAATTCCCTGATGCTCAAGACAAACATTTTGAGAAAAACATCTTTTCCCCCCCATGTTTTTCACAGCTTTTTTTTTTTTTAATGCATAACCAAACATTATTTTTGGACCACGTTGACAGCTCTATCCTTGGTTTGGGTGTTGTTCACTATTTTATTTTATTTTTTTGCATTTATTTCAGGATTTAACAAGCATCGTCTAATCTGAATTTTAAAATAGTTACTTATTCAGATAAAAACAAATTTAATTCAGCTTTTTTTTTCTACAGATTTTATACTGGCATTTAAGTGATCTGTTAAATAAAAAAAAAAGATTAAAAAATCTGTTTTATAATTAGTTATAAACTCAGGTGACACTTTAGATGTGTTGTTTTGCCCAAGTAAATTTCAAAAACATTAAATTTTTTTAAACTCAAAGCTTAAAAAAGCTCCTGTTTTTTGCAGCTGTGGTGCACCCCGTCTCGATGACCAGTTTTCACTCGTTTCTATAACAGAAAAAAACGTCTCTCCGGCTATGCACATATGTTTAAATCTAGCAAACTGTTTACACAATCCATGAAATCTCCAAAGGAGATGAAGAGGAGGATTGTGGTGTCAAAGCCGAACAGAAATATCTCTGTAAGGCTGCTCTGTGTTCGCTGAATGGCTGAGATTAACTTTCACACAGCTCACGCACCTTAATGCTGTGATTTCTGCAGGCTAGCACGGAAGAATATACCATGTTTTGGCAAATAAGTTCTTTGATCAACTTATCACGGTGTGCCAACTGGGGTTAAAAATAAAACCACAGCTTTTCTCAGGCGGCTTCACGCAGCACTTTGATCTCCCGTTTGACTAGCACAACATTTTTGGATGTATTCAGTCAGAACTCAGCGAGATGTACAGTTCTGGCCAAGAGGATATCTTTAAAAATACAGAAATTGGGATAGAGCTGTTAAAAATGTTTTCCTTTCTTTGGCGAGAATATGAAAATCTTGTTTGTGATCCATTTCAAAGGATATGCTACATCTCGAGCACGGATTCCTTTTTTTTTTTTAAGGAGATGCCAAATAACTTTAAAAGAAAATCGTTGGTATCACGCTGTTTTTCAATCCTTCTCAAGTTGTTGTAGAGGCGATCAGACTGAAGGAAAAAATGAGCTTGTAGCATAAAAAGAATGAACTCTTCTTGATTAATTCTGCAGCAGCATGAAAAATCTTTTCTTTTCTTTTAAAAGAACAGTTCCACAAAGAAGGAAAAGGTTGAACGTCTGATTTGTGCTATTTACATTATTTCCACTGGATAAAGTCACACGCACAACACTCGCTGCAGACATTTGTATGTACAAAGGCGCACAGTTGAATGAGCACAACCCAGACAAAGACACACACACACACACACA